GGCCCGTCTCCAGGGCGCCCTCCCGAGAGCCGAGGGTGGCGCTGCGTCTCCACCAGGATCTTGTCCGCTGGGGAGACTCCCGCAGGGCCACCTGCTTCCAGACTGGTCTTCCCAGGTGATGATTTCTTTCATTGATCACAAAGGAGCTTGAGTAGTTCAAAGTCACACACACACGCTGTGGAGAGGGGGTGGGTTCTGCCTGGTTAGTCCCTCTTCGCCTCCCCTCCCTGGAGTCCGCACTCCTGGTCCCGCCCCACCGCCTCCGGGGAGCCGCCCCAGCTCGGCAGTCCCAGCACCACACGCTGGTTATGCCCGCACGTGTGCCGCGCCAGCACGGCCAGGGGTGAGCCTGAGTGGGGGGGTGGGGGGCGGTGAAGGATTAGAAAAGACGGACAAGAGAATGCGCTGGGTCTGGGTGGGACGCTGCCCCTCGGATGGAGAGACAGCGCCAGCGCCCACAGCCGTGTCGTTATTTTATAGCAGATCCACGAGGCAAAGCGAGGGCGTGGCCAAGATGGTTGCAACATTCTCGCAGGTTTCGATCCTACTCAACCACATGCACCTGAACTCTATCAAGCCCACACCACTCAGCCACGTGGGGCCACGTGTTCGGACCAGGTCAAGCTCACAACCACAGCCTTTGGCTGTCATTGTGCTGGGACTTGTACGTGGCTTTGCCACGAGAGGACCCAGGCTTGAACCTGTCCAAACGCTGTAGCCGCTCCCCACATGCAAGGTGAGGGCCAGGTCTCTTTCCACACACGTGTGCTCACTCTCTCACACCTCACATGTGCACCCTTCCACACACCACACACGCACACACCTCACCCCCCCCACACCTCACCCCCACACACACCTTACCTGCACACACACACACACCTCACCCGCACACACATCTCACCTGCACACACACAAACACACGCTCCTCACACGCACGCACATACCTCACCCACACATACCTCACTTGCACACACACCACTCACACGCACACGCCTCGCACACACCTCACATGTATACACATGCACATAGCTTACACGCAGACGCCTCACACATATACACGTGCATATACCTCACATGCACACACGGGTGCATGCCCACGCCCACCGGCACCCCAGCAGTGTCAGGTGGCATCCCTCGCTCACAGCCCCGCACACTCGGGACTCAGTGTGGAACTAATCACAGGTCTGTCCCTCCAGGGCGCCCACTAGTGGCGCCCACAGCGTGTGTCCCTGGAGTTCGTCATGTTGTCTGTGCTTTTCAGCAACGTAACCCTAACCCTCCTCCCACGTCGCCCTCCTTCCTCCACTTCCTTGCTCCTTGGGAGGCCTCTCTGGAACCTTCTGCCGCCCTGCCCTGCCCACAGCCCCCTGGCTGGGCGCTCCGCCCCGCCCTTCAGTGCCTCCTGCTCAGCAGCCTGGGCTCCACTCCCTGGCTGGGCCCCAGCTGAGGGCT